TACTATTAGTTGTGGATGTGTATCTACTACTACTACTAGTACTATTAGTTGGGGATGTGTATCTACTACTACTAGGTCTCAACTAAAGCAGTCGCATCTCCATAGTGGGAGCACGCATTAGCCACGATCCACTTGCTTCAGGATGAGGTAGGAGATAGTAGTACTAGTGATGTATGTTTGGATGTATTATTATTACGAATTAATATAATAACACATGATATATTACATGTATTCGGATTAATAAATGGATAGAGGAATGTCCTGCAAACCGAATTACACGGGGCGCTAAAGCGCACGGCGGCCGTGGAAAAGGACTTGCTCACATGTCAGTGTACGATGTCACTCTCTCTGTCGACGCAAGTACCTGTTCATCACGTTTAACGCATAGTTCTATTTTGTGGTGGTAGTTAAAGTATCAACGTTAGAACAGCAATGTCGAGACCTGCACGACCAACTTCGACTGCAGGAAATCGCTTGGAACGACGAACTGGCCAAGGCTCACCCCCCCCCCCCTACTCCCCCACAAGCGACGAGCTTTAAATCGTCCTCTAAAAACCTCGACATTCCCGTGGTGGTGCGTACTACTCATCCTTTTTTGAGTTGTCAAGAGTAATGAACCGAATTCACGACCATGCAATGTATGTACTAATATTTGGTCGTGTCACCTGTATGTACACATAGCCTCTTGCGATCACAATGACCAAGAAACCAATCAAAGTTCACGAGGACTGCCCAGAGACGATTTGGCCGGAGGAAGCTGTGCAGGATGAGTGGTGGATAGACGACGGCGGGAACTCGGACGAACGTGGTCCACCTGTCCCCAGGCCAGTCAACCTCCCCCCGCCCGTAGCCCCCCGAGAACCCCCCGCGTCGACCCCCCACTTCGGAGGTCGCCATCATAGGCAGCATCAACACATCTCGACCCATCGCCACATGCTGCTTGAGTACCTTCACAAAGCGGCATCATCCAAGCACCCACCACCCCGTCGTCTGAAAGATCAAGAACGCGGGTATGAGTCACTTGCTCCAGGTTCAAAGTAATGTCAGTACAGTACCCTCTACTAGTATACTACGTACTACTGTACCGTACGCAGTAATCAAAAGTGATGAGTGAGTGGAAGGTCAAATCTAACTACTTAAGTATACTACTGTAGACCTTCGCCCTCTGAACCCTATTATTGCTCGCTTCATGAGATAAACACATATAAATCAGCAAGATAATAATAAAAAAGCGCCGTTAGTCTATTGTCAAAGGGTATAGATTAACAAGTATTAACAAGCGCCGTTAGTCTAATGGTTAGGATTTCTCCCTTCCAAGGAGAAGGTCGGGGTTCAATTCCCCGACGGCGCAATCTTTTTTCTTGTCATTTCATCGTGTCGACCGCTGCTGCTGCCACGTCATACCTTGTTGCGTGCGTGCGCACCTCATCCATAAATACCCTTGATATCTTGCAACACTTTGTATATCGTCTGTTGAACCAGTCAATTCCGACTGTACGTTGGCAACCATGAGAGCGACCACGACGAGCTACGATAAATATATAATATTCCAAATTTAATACAGTACTACTATATATTATTCGATTCCATATAGTATCTATTTCAAAGCAGTGCTGTAGTAGTAGTATCAGGCGCTTCAGTCGAGGAGTTCGGCTTCGTTTTCATCAATCAACACGTCGGCGTGGGTGATCAGGTACTCGACCAACGACTGCATCATATCGTGCTCGGTCTCGTCGTCGTCCGTACCATTTCGAAACACAAACCGGCCAAACAGGCGCGCCAGCACCGCCGCCGTCAGTTTATTTTTGGCTTCATACACTGTCACATCGTTCCAGTGGAAAATCAAAAACGCCATCCGTTTGCTACAACATACGAATACGTTACTCAATAAATAAGTATATACCATACCCCCCCTCAAACAGAATCTTGTAGAAAACAATATATATATATATATATTATATATATACTACAATATAATATATACCAGGTAGTATATATATATAAATAACAAATATATATAAAACAATATATATATATATATATATAAATAACAAATAGTATATATATATATATAACCAAATAGTATATATATAGCAATATATATAAATATATATATATATAAATAACAAATATATATATATATATATATATATATGTATACTTTGGGACGTGGCTTACAATGGTGTGGGAGGCAAGGTCCTGAGTAAACTTTTCAAGTTTCGCATCAACTCGAACGGCGCCGTCGCACCTTCCGCCATCACATGCCGAAACGCGTGGTACATGTCGACAGGTACAATCGGGCCTTCTAATTGGCTGAGCCACAGCATCACCACCGCACCCGCCGTGACCACGTCCAGCTCGTCCTCCCATTCGTTGCGGGTAGGTTTGCGCTGCTCGATCGCGCACTGGTTCAAAAACGACGCCACACTCTGCCAGAAATATATATATATATGTGTCCGATCGAATAATATTAGTCATCACCACCGAGTGAGTGGTGATGGCTAACACAAGCAAAGATTTTTAGCTTTGTACCTGCAGACGACTTGGCGGCGGCACAGTTGTCGAGTAAAAGTGTTCGGTTTCAATACCTGGAAATGATTCAAAAATGTATTCAATCGCCAACACAATCGCTTTGGGCACGACATCGTGGGGTAAACTGAACACTGTCACAGCCGCCCTTGGCGATACATGGGCAAGTGCTGGCTGCGGGGTTCTTGGGGTCGTCGTCGACACCCCAGACGACGGGGTACTAGTAGTAGTCGTCGTAGTAGTACTAGTCATCGCTCCAAACCCTCCGAGGGCGGCTTTTTGTCGAATGTTGTTTTGCGTGATCAATGCTTTCAACGACCCTATATTCTCTCATGTACAATATCAGTTTTGAAAAATATATAAAACTTCTTCCACCATGCACGTTGTATATATATATATATATTTATATATACAAGAAAAACGATTTTTATTCGACGCATGCTCCCATATCCATGTACATATAAAAAATTGTATTTCTTGTATATATATATATATACAAGAAAAACGATTTTTTTCTTTTTCTTTTTTATTCGACGCATGCTCCCATATCCATGTATGTACATTACATATACAATCCCTACCTCCGCCGCCACTGGTATTGTGGTTTTGGTTGCAATTGGTATTGCTGCTGCTCCCACGTCGGCCGCCCACAGCTTCGGGCCGTGGACTGTTGACGCTGCGCGTGAGAAGCGAGTCCAGCATGGCTACCCATGTCACGGTGGATTGGGGGGAGTCCGACACCAAGCAGAACTCTCTCGTGGCTCTGGGTGTGGTTTTAGAGGCTGGTTTGTCCCTTTCATCTCCGCTAGAAACCAACCCGTCGACATCGTAGTCGCCCGTGGTGGCCGCAGTCGTCGACGGCAGGCGGCACGTGATGTCAAATCGACACCCTAATAATAACAAACATCACCACCATCATCTCCATCCACTAATTATTTAGTAGTTTTTTCGAATACTCCAAAAAGCACAAACATATGTATGAAACAAAAGTTATTTGAAAAGATTTTTTCTTAGGGCGGGTCTGGATGCCACGAAAAATGGCATAAAATGGCCGTTTTTGCAAGAAAAGTTGCAAAAATCGATGTATATATTATATATATATCATCGACGCGAGATGGTATCTTCCGTGGTGTTCGGATTGGCTCTTAAGTATATATTTTCAGCCAATCACCTCAAGTTCCAGTATTGAATAGTACTACTCGAGTAACTGTTACTTGTATTGCCACTAACCTCGACCAACGTTTCTCGACTTGGACATCTTCAAATTTAGAAGCTAGTTAGTCCAATATGACAAGAATGGCAACCCCCGTATATATATATATTATATATACACAAGACATGCCAAAACCAAATGAATCGACTAGTTTATAACAATGCGAAATACACTCTACGTTTATACGCGTATATATATGTATGTACTTAGTATATAGTAGTTAGTGGTGATATGCCATACCTTTGTACTTGGGGTGGCTTGGCTTGGAGATGCGCTGAATCGATCGCAGCGAAATGCACCCGAGTTCGTTCAACGGAATGGGCCCCCATCCGCTCTGCACCACGTCCGTGTAGTATCGCATCTCGTTAGGGTTCTTGAACAGCACAAAATACCGCGAATTCCACGCTTTGAGGCCTCGGAGACCCTACAGCAGCCAAGCATGACAACCAATCATGAGTGGCCAATCGTGGCAGCAGCAGCAGTCTGTCCACTCGCCAGTTGGCTGTCGTACCCGCCTTTGCTTTTGACGCAGCCAGCCTTCCAACAACACCCCCGAGCCAGGCACCCCAGGGATAGCACCTCCGAGCGCGCCTCGCCCAGGGCTTAAGGCGCTGTGTGGGTCGAAAAACAAACACGTTTTGTTAATATATGAAAGAGAAACACCTTTTGTTAATAGATGCATGTTGTTAAGTTTACGTACTGCAGGACGTTCAGTTGAAACGCATCGTCGGGCTCGTCTTCGGGCGTGGGGGCGAGCGGCGTGTCCGTAGACGACGCGCGTAATATCATGCGTGACGAGTGCCGCCGCTGGAGGACAGGACCAGCTGAAGATGCAACTGGGGCTGAATCGGGGGGGTGGTCGTCGTGGGGTTGGTTGGCAGCAGCTCCATTGAGGTGCTTTGACGATTTCGACCGAAACGGCGACAGGATCTTGGTCTTTTGCACGAGTTTGTGGAAGCCAGACACCGGTCGTGGTATATCTGGAAGTGATCCTGTTGCGGGTGGCGCTGTCAAGTCCAGTGCTGGTGGTGGTGGCGCTTTCTCGGTAATGGTGCCTGCTCGACTGGGTATGAAGGCAGATGCAGATGCACGCCGATGCATGGCCGAAGTGGACGACGATGCTGCCGACGCAATCGAAGATGCTTGCAGCGAAGACATGGACCCCGCTTGGTTGTTCGCGTAGTTGTCGTCGCCACCGCCGCCCTCGTCATCCGAGTCTGAATACCATCGCTTCGACGATGCGCGGCGGACGAGGCTAGGCGCAGCCGTCGTCGACACTGATGCGGTCGTGGGCTGGATCTTGGTCTTGTCCTCGTCGGACACATCCGACCCAAACGAAGCCCCACGAGGTCGAGCTGTCGTCGATGGCGCCGCCAGTTGGCGCAACGCCATGATTGTGGTCAAACACTCGTTCGAGATTTTGGGGTCTAGTATCCGGATCCGCATAAAGATCGGGCACTTGACTAACCGAATTGTATCCCATGTGGCCAAGGTATAATATATATATATTATATATATACTTCGAAGTATATATGTATGTATGTACATCTGCCAGAGAAGATAGACCTGCCCATCCCAACCAAGAGCCCATTCTTCCAATATGCCAGCAAAACAAAAACGCACGTCCGTCAAATGTCCATACATGTTGATTATATGCAAATGGATCCAGAGCTAGCTCTACCTATTAATAATACACTCGCCTCCCACCTATCATCTATGATATCTCCAGCTCTTTTCGGTCAGTCACCGGCATCCACCCGTCCATCGAAGGATGGCTATGATACCGGTGCTGCTTGTGGCCAAAACTCTCTACCACGAACTGTTGTCGTACCCGCCGCCGCCGCCGCCATTGCGGTCGCCGTAGCCTCCGGATCGGTCGCCATATCCGCCGCCGCGGCTTTCAAACCCACCGCCTCCTCGGCTAGGCGGCCCTCCGCCACCACCGCCTTCTTTTCGGAAATCACGGGCACCAAAGCGCGACGATCCGCCGCGTCCGCCACGGCCGCCGCGTCCACCGCCGCGCCCGCCGCCGCCGCCATACGACGCTAGTTGGGCCAACCACGGCGGGCACTCCTGGCCGTTCTCCTGCAGCAGCTCGTGCAATTCGCGCACAATATTGCGGTTCTTGTCGTTCACCATAGACAGCGCGTTTCCGACATTGCCGACGCGGCCCGTGCGCCCGATGCGATGCACATAGTCGTCAATGTTAGTCGGGAGGTCATAGTTGATCACTTGTGTGACGCCGCTAATGTCCAGCCCTCGCGCGGCCACGTCCGTGGCCACCAGCACGGGCGTGCGGCCGCTTCGGAACGACGCCAGCGCGGCTTCGCGCTCGCGCTGGGTCCGATCGCCGTGGATCGACGTCGCCGGGAACCCTTCATGGCACAGCATGTCTTCTAAAAAGTCAGCATTGCGCTTGGTTTCAACAAAGATAAGGATCAGGCCGTCTTGCACTTCGTTCAGGAACCGAATGAGGTAGTCTTCCTTGTCCTGCTGGTCCACCCACACAACTGTCTGCTTGACGTCCTTGGACGCCGCGCCGACGCGGCCCACCGTCAAAAAGATGTAATCGCGCAAAAAGTCCGACGCCAATCGCTGGATCTCGCGGGGAAACGTCGCCGAAAACATAAACGTCTGGCGTTCGCGCGTCATGTCTTCCTGCTCGACGATGCGCCGGATTTGAGGCTCAAACCCCATGTCCAACATGCGATCGGCTTCATCCAAGATGAGAAACTGGATGCCCGCGAGCGATACGCGGCCGCGCTCGATCAGGTCCACGAGGCGCCCGGGGGTGGCCACCAACAGGTCCACGCCGCGCTCCAAGTTGCGCAGCTGCTGGCCCACCTCGGCTCCGCCGTACACCACCACAGGCGCAATGCCGGTGCAGTAGCAGAACTTTTTGGCTTCGTCGTAAATTTGAGATGCCAGTTCACGCGTCGGCGCCAAGATCAGCGCCGATGGAAAGAACTTGCGGCGACGCCCGCCGGCAGAGTTTTCGTCGAGCGCTGCGGCCGGGCCGTTGCGGAGCATCGACGCCAACGTCGGGAAGAGGAACCCACCAGTCTTGCCCGAGCCGGTTTGGGCACATGCCATCATGTCGCGGCCGGCCAACCCGATCGGGATCGAGTACTTTTGCACGGGCGTCGGCTTGTTGTACATGCACAGCTTCAGGTTGCTGCACACTTCGGGGCCGAGCTCTTCTTCGTTGAACGACGAAATGGGCGGCGGCACGCCTTCCCCGCTCGTTTCCACGGGGATGTCGTCGTACTAAGAAAACGGAGGGGGTCCATTAGATATGTGCTCGATGGAGACATGAGATAGGAACAGGCGGACGTACGTTGTCAAAGTTGATACCGGACGATTGGCAGTCGCCAAACAACTCTTGTTCCGTGCGCGAGTTGGGGGTCATGTCGCCGTGGAATCCAAGGCGGTTCTTGCGAGGGGCGCCGTACCCACCGCCGCCGCGGCTGCCGCCGTACGACCCACGGTCGCCTCCATCGCGTCCACCATAGCCGCCACGCTCTTCGCGGCCACCGTATCCGCCGCCGGATTCAAAGCCCGACCAACGGGAGTTGCTCGCGGGCGGTTCGCGGGAATATCCTCCGCCACGTCCACCGTCACGGCCACCGTATCCACCGCGGTCACCGCCGCGTCTGTCTACCGAGCCTCGGTCGCTGCCGCGGTCACTGCCGCCGCCGTCTTGTTCATGGCCGCGCAAATGAGGCGGCACATAGCGTGATCGTGGTTGGTCTCCGTTCATGAAAAAAATAGTATGGTGTAAACTATGGCGTCGGGTGGTGGTTGGGAAGATACATGTTTTAAACGTCGCGTTCGGCACGTCCCAGAAGGAACGACGCCTCCGGGCATGTTTGAAACACGTTTGAAACCCGTTTGAAACAACTCCCCAGAAACCATTGGTTCCCCGACCCCGTCCCAGAATGTCGGTCACCGAAGATGATTCTGTCCATTTTCTTCGGATCAAAATCGCACGAAACGTCGCGACGAACCAGTGATGGGTAACGAACGGCCTCATGCTTTCAGCGAGTTGTGTCATGTTCATGGCCTTCCTCAAAGACTTAGGCCACGAACTTCTGGATATGACTTCAGTGTATCGCAGCGTGCGTGCCACGTGTGTCCAATACTGTAGTACTGTGTAACTTGACAGGGTGGAATCTTATCTTATTAATAATAGTAGCGGTTATATGCACAGGAATAATAGCGGTTTTTCATCAAGTTCTTCAGACACTAGTGACTACACTGGAAGGCCGTGGCCAATTCTGTGAGTGTTGGACTAATTGTATCGTAGAGGAGTCTGGTAGCGAGCGATGCTTGTAGCTCAAATACCAAGTACAATAATGTGGCACTTGTCGTTTCGAGTTTCCATTGATCCGTGGTGGTACTCTAGTACTTGTCATGGCGCATAGTTGGCAGTGGCTCAAAGAGGGCGAAGGCACCGGGGGGGGCATGTGTGGGGGCTTCGTTTTACACTTCGCAGGAATATACTGGCAGTTCCTTACTCACTTGCGATGCAAAGGCCACCGTAGTTTAACATTTTTGTCGACTTGAACATCCTTGACAAGGCCAGGCTTGTGGGAGCATAAATACACAGACAAGAGACTCGGCGGGGGGACACAAGGAACTGTCACGGGACAGCAACCATTTCCTCGCTGCGGCTTTAGTCCACGTGTCCTAACAGACCACCTGACAAAGCGATCGCTGTCGTCACGCTTCGAGGGTCGGGTGTCCGTGCAAAGGGCGCCGCGACACAGGGACAGTCGTGCAATCGACGATCGATGGCCTAAACAATTCGCGCACAGATCGGAAAGTCGGACTTGGCCATCCTAAAGCGTGTGACTTTCAAGTTGTGTTCAATAGCGTGGGTAGTTTAGTTCGTCGTGGGCGATGGATGGTCCGACACGGTGGTCCCGATGGCGCGGATCCAAACAGTCCAAATCGAGTGATCATAGCTTTGACCTTCGTTTTGGTAGGTCGGTCGTGTCGTCGACTGTCACACAACAAGTGCCCTGTCATTATTATTGTAGTTGACGACACAGTCAGTCTCGGAATATGACTAATACTACTACCGGCAGTAGTACACAACTGCCAGGTCCCTCGAGCTTGGCCTACACTCAAGTATGCTGTGTGGTTCATGACCAAGCCCACCGCTACCACGGCGCAATTGTCATCGACGAGGAAGGAATTTTGAACGGCAGTTGCAGTGTTCATCCCGTTCAAGCTAGAATCTGTCCAACAGCCAGAATCGCAGACAACTTACACTTATGTGATTCAATGACAAAAATGTGCGTGCTTGTGCGCACCTCGAACACGTATTTTCCTACCCCCAAGTCGTCTGGTTCGCCATTAAGTTGACCGCCGCGCAAACGAATACTATGAAGGCAACAACGCGTATGGACACCCCAATTACGACTACACCTACATAACTATGGTTCGCTGCCAGTTGTAGCCGTTATTGGGTGACCCCCCAGACGTCGCTGAAGGGGCCGGTGGCTCGCGAAGGGGTGACCCCCAGTGAAGTGGGAGTCAGTCAGAAATCCGGGCAGTACTCGAACGACAATGGCGCGCTGTTGTGGACTCATAGGCACGGTGGCCCTTCCCGCCCACAATGCCATCCATCCAGGGCTACTATTGTGCCAATTTTAGCTGGTTTGACACGCTAAACCAGACACCGACTCCTTTCAGGTAAACAGAGCTCCCCCGACGCCATCAGCACCAACGACATCAGTGCCACTCCAAGTGTCAATGAATTGCGTGCTTGCGGTTGTATGATGGCTCTAGGTCTGAAGCCAAGTTGCTGGAGTAGTTTAGTCCTCAAGTTGTATTCGACCAAGCCGGACGGCTCTGCACGAGAGGCCCCATGTGATCACCGACTCGGGGGGCTTGGATGGTTACGACGCGTGGATGGAGTGTGGAAGGCGACTGGTATCATCAAAGTCTTTTCCAACGTCATCAGCAGGCCCAGTTGGGGTTGGGCAACCCGAAGGGTCCAATCTTGTGTGGATATCGGCTCATAACGAACGAAAATGAAAAACACGCGTTCTTCTCAACTTGAAGTTACCACTTAACGTGTCAATTCTAGTCGCACAAGCTAATGTTCCGTCAAAAATCGACTGGGTTGAACGACCCAGCAACCAACAAACTCAACTCCCCGTCCTGTCAAACTTTATCGCTCAACGTTACTGTACCGTTGCACGACAGGTACAATACAGTAAGTACTAAGTATATTCCACGATGCTCATGGGTTCTGTTCCAGGCGTCACGAGTGTCCTTGGCTAGTACGCCCTATATATACTGTACTGTACTGGTACGTACTACTAGTCCTCGGAGGAGTAAAGTCATTTCTACACTCTAGACAGACGCACTACTACCGTAGTATGGACAATATAAAAGCTGATTATCGTTTGACCGGCGAGGGAACAAATAATTAAACACCACGACAACTACTGTGTTTGCAAGCATCGGTTGCTTAGCAGGTGGGGCGGCGGTTGTCGTTGAGCTTGCCGTCACGAAGGATCGTGCCAATGTTGACACGGCCGTGGCCGAAGCGGTTGTTAGGCCACGCAGTGTCCTTGACACCGCCGCAGTTGGGGGCACCCGGCAGGGTGCGGTTGTTGGTGAGGTACCACGTTTCGGGCTCGGTCGTGTTGAGTTCCTTCTGGTCCGTGGTGGCCGTCAAGTACTTGTACACAGCGTCGTAGCTCGCCGTGGGGTCGACACTCTTGATGATGGCAACCACGCCAGCGACGTGGGGAGCTGCCATGGACGTGCCGGCCAACTGCCGGTACGCCGTGTTGTTGGCAATGCCCACGGAAAGGGTGTAGAAGCCGGGGGCCGAAATGTCTGGCTTCAAGTATGCTTCGCCGTTGCCTGTTTGCGGACCCTTGGACGAAAAGTAGGCGATTTTGTCCTTTTCGTTGGTGAACGACCCGATGGCTCCAACACCAATGACCGTCTTGTATCCGCCAGGGCTACCCACCGTGCCACACGCAGGACCGCGGTTGCCGTTGGAAAACACTGGGATAATCCCCGCCGCCTTCCACGCCGCTACAGCCGTTTCCAACCAAGGGGTGTAAGTGGCCGAGCCCCACGAGTTGTTGACAACATGGGGGCCCTTCTTGCAGTCGGCGCCCGTGCCGTCTGGCTTAGTAGGGCACAGCATGTACTGCGCGCATTCCAAGAGACGATCAGTGGTTCCAGAGCCACCGAACAAACCCAAGCACGCAATCCACTGGGCACCGGGGGCTACGCCAATGCCTTTGGCACCGACCATCGTACCAATTGTGTGCGAGCCGTGCCCGGACGTGTCCCAAGGGAGTGTCGTCCGGTTGTACGGGTCAAACCAGCCCAATTCCGACCGCCAGTTGTGCTTGATGGCTTCGTGCGTGTGGAGGGCGCCCGAGTCAATGGAGCCCACAATGGCGCCCTTTCCGTTCGAGTACTTCCAGATTTCAGGGGCACCGATGGCTTCCACGCCCCACTCGTTGGTCGCCGTGCTTTCGGCATCAACCGACCCCTTCAACACTTCGGGGGTGGTGAAGTCGGCCGCGTTCAAGTCAATGTATTCGACCACAGTCGACGCCTCCAATGCGTCCAATGTGGCCTTGGTGGCCGACGGGAAGAGCACGGCGGCTCCGATGGGCAACGCCACGGCATCGGCAATGGACACGATGTTGGCCAAGGCAGCCAAGTTCTTCTTGGACGCTTCCTTCAAGAACGCATCCACAAACTCACGGGGTTCAGCGGCGAGGAGCGCCCCTTGTTCCAAGGCGGCAATGTCCAGAGCGAATTTGACAAGGAGACCCACTTCCGAAGCGGATTCCGTTTCAAAGTGGCGCTTGGCACGGATGGCGACATTGGCGGCCGACGCGATCGAGGCGAGGGCGAGGATCGAAGCTGCTTTCATATTGGGTGAAAACGTATACTGAGAGCGAGCGTCATGTTGCTATAGATTGAGAAGGTGTCGGTCGTGACTGGTATATTATTCCAGATGGGAGCTGAAACTTGCACCTGCAGCCCAATTGGCCGTCGCGACGCGAACAGGTAGGCTTTGCTGATTCGTCGGCCCACCACGGTTACAAAATGTTGCTGTACAGTGCAACTGTTGTTAGGGTTTGGGATAGCACAAATAGTGTTTGATTTGACATGTGAGTTTATTTCGTGCAAAACTCCAATACTATTAGTACAAGTAATTGCATCACGTGTTTACAGTATGTACGGGTACTGTACAGTACATGTCATTGAAACTGCATGGGCGATAAAGAGAGTTTTCGGTAGGCCATACTAGTATTGAATACGAGTACTACATCAGCATACCAGCGGCAATGTCACGAGTATTGTAGACACTCCGAGTAATGTTAGTGCAGTGCTTTGTTTCAGTTTTTACATACTTGAGGGGTATTTTGGAATCCAAAGGTACACTACTCCGGGGTACATAGATAGGTAGTACTGTACTAGCTAGTACTACTACTGTAGTACTGTAGGCACTACTACAGCTGTGCTTCGATGTAGTACTTCTGTCACTACTACTAGTAGTATCGGACATAACGAACGTTTGGCCCATGGCCACCATATGTCTAGACTCTGTTGCTGTAACCCTTGTAGAAGGGACTCATTGTAGTGGGCCGAATCATGACCCCTTGGAAAACCTACTGTACCCCACGACAATTCCTAGCACCCCAAATCCGACTCCATGAATCCTGTCATTCGACGTTTTTCTCCGTACGCCCGACATGAAAGCTACTTCTATCCTCGCCCTCGCCTCGACCGCGTCGGCCGCCAACGTCGCCATCCGCGCCAAGCGCCATTTTGAGACGGAATCTGCTTCGGAAGTGGGTCTGATTGCCAAGTTCCCCTTGGACATTGCTGCCCTGGAACAAGGGGCGCTCCTCGCCGCCGAACCCCGCGAGTTTGTGGATGCGTTCTTGAAGGAAGCGTCCAAGAAGAACTTGGCTGCCTTGGCCAACATCGTGTCCATTGCCGATGCCGTGGCGTTGCCCATCGGAGGTGCCGTCTACTTCCCGTCGGCCACCAAGGCCACATTGGACGCATTGGAGGCGTCGACTGTGGTCGAATACATTGACTTGAACGCGGCCGACTTCACCATCCCCGAAGTGTTGAAGGGGTCGGTTGATGCCGAAAGCACGGCGACCAACGAGTGGGGCGTGGAAGCCATCGGTGCCCCTGAAATCTGGAAGTACTCGACCGGCAAGGGCGCCATTGTGGGCTCCATTGACTCGGGCGCCCTCCACACGCACGAAGCCATCAAGCACAACTGGCGGTCGGAATTGGGCTGGTTCGACCCCTATGAGCGCTCGGCGCTGCCCCGCGACACGTCTGGCCACGGCTCGCATACGATCGGTACGATGGTTGGTGCCAACGGCATCGGCGTAGCCCCCGGCGCCCAATGGATTGCGTGCATCGGTCTGAACGGCTCCTCTGGTACTTCAGCCAAGCTGCTTGAATGTGCTCAGTTCATGCTGTGCCCCACCAAGCCGGACGGCACCGGCGCCGACTGCAAGAAGGGCCCCCACGTCGTCAACAACTCGTGGGGCTCGGCCTCGTACACCCCTTGGTTTGAAGACGCCGTGGCTGCGTGGAAGGCTGCGGGTATTGTCCCCATCTTCGCCAACGGCAACAGCGGCACGCTCTGCGCCACCGTGGGCAGCCCCGGCGGGTACAAGACGGTCATTGGCGTTGGAGCCATCGGCTCGTTCACCAACGAAAAGGACAAACTCGCCTACTTCTCGTCCAAGGGCCCGCAAACCAAGAACGGCGCTGAGTACTTCAAGCCTGACGTGTCCGCCCCTGGTTTCTTTACGCGGTCGGTGGGCATTGCCAACAACACGGCGTACGCCCAATACGCCGGCACGTCCATGGCGGCTCCCCACGTCGCTGGCGTGGTTGCCATCATCAAGAGTGTCGACCCCACGGCGAGCTACGATGCTGTGTACAAGTACTTGACCGCCACCACGGACCAAAAGGAACTCAACACGACCGAGCCCGAAACGTGGTACCTCTCCAACAACCGCACCCTGCCGGGCGCCCCCAACTGCGGCGGCCTCAAGGACTCGGAGTGGCCTAACAACCGCTTCGGCCACGGCCGTGTCAACATTGGCACGATCCTTCGCGACGGCAAGCTCAACGACAACCGCCGCCCCACCTGCTAAATGTATTCCAAGGCCTTTCATTAACGTTACCCATAACGTTACCGTAGAGTAACTTGTGATAAGTATTGTCTTTTGTCCAAGTACGTTCATTCATTACCCACGCACTGTCAAGTGACTTCATGCTTAACGTTACTAGTATTTCTGTATTCCCCATGTACCTATACTCAAGATTTTTCAGTTTTGCGGAAGTACGTTTTGGGGATTCCCCCCCATCTAAGTTCTGTCATCCAACCTACCATGTATGAAACCAACCAAGGCTGGAGAAAGAATAGTTTCACTGTCAACCAATCCAATAACTTGACCGCCCATGTCCGTAACTATTAATAGTGTAAGCTACACTATTGGCGAAACTTCATTTGGAGGGGTCCAACCGATGAATAGTGTAGCCTTCAGGTAACATTATATATAGGATAAATGAATAGTGTAGCCTATATTATTGTAATACACATATTAGTGAAGGCAAAAATGACCTCAAATCCACACAACTTTCTCTAATAATTTTGACCAACGATTGTTTTAAGTTGCATTTACTACTTACTACCTCTGTCCCGGTTTTATTGCTCCAAACGGCATTTTTGAGAAACGAACACAATGTTTTCTGAGAAGTATAGAGTATGCGGTATGTTTCAAAAGAGCAGAACTCGGCGAATTCAATTGAAATCAAATTGAGGTAAAATACATCCAATCAAATACGAGAGAGCAATCAGAAGACTCCATACTGTGGCTCATATAATTGAAATAACCACGCTCAATAAAAACAAAGTACGGATAAAAGGAACGACATCCGTACATACAAGCCTCAAATAACGTTAGTATTTTCACCGTAACTTCGCCAATATTACTCCAATTTTGATTGGCGCTATCGATTGGCCAATTTCAGGCCAAGGTCGCTTGCCCTTGTCGATTGAAGCAGATACTGGCGTTGTCAACGCCAGTATGGAATTGCTAAGTGAGTGTGACTTGTCTACAGTCATCTTAGAATTGGCGAGCGAAGTGGCGAAGAACTTGGAAATGAGCGATGTCTGCACGGAGCTTGAGCGTCTGGATATCGTGGAAGATTCCGATGATGAAGAACTTGACATACCAGTGGTACCGGTACCATCGGTACTTAGATTAAACATTTGAAATAAATGTACTTGATTTTTGTATGCGAAATACAGTGTTTTTTTCTTCAATCCACTGTTGCACGTTTGGAGCAATTAAAATGGAACTTCAAGAATCTCGTTTGGAGCAATAAAACCGGGACAGAGGTAGTACATGTGTGCGTTGCTTCAGTTTCAACGCGTACCGGTAGACTATTTGGTGCATTTTGCGTTGACACTGAGGATATATATCAGCTACCAAGTGGAGACTTCACCAAATAAGCTATATTTCCATTAATTGACCGCTCACACGACGGGTGATATGGGTATGGTCGAATTGGATTGGTTATAATTCAAAGTTCTCAGAAATATATAACAAATCTATTTCTTTCATGGTACCGTGTAGTTTAGGTCCTTTTAGACAGGTGATATTTCACAACCAGTCGACATTCGAGATCATATTAATCCTTACAGGTATAGCGTATTTAGAGTTTAAATATAGCACTCGACCTATACAAACACGTACTACGTAGTACGTTCAAAATGAGCAATTTTATTCATCTTGCGTATCAATATCGTCCGACAGGTGGATTGTATCATCCACAGCACAACCAGCAATGAGCTGCGACAACATTTCCTTATCTACTTCGTCTGACTCAACACCACCAACATCAACTACTGGTTGTATCAATCTACACTTTCCAAAGCCATTGAGGATGATCGACTGGGGCAAATCGTTCCACACTTGCGTGATCCATTGCACGATGGTAGTCCGTGATGGCGCCACCAACTTGAATGTAGTTTGTTGGCTCTTATTCGTTCTCACTTGACGTCGAATCATTTCGATCCAGTACTTCCGTAGCCTCGACTTCATTGGTCGTATCCACGCAACATCAGCAGGCTGACATATCCAGGTAAAGCGCGGTGGCACCTTCTCCAGCACAACGTTGAGTTCTTCAGCGCATGCAACGACCTCGTCCGTAAAATGAGCGGAAAAGTCGTCCCACAGGAGCATGACCTTCTTCGTCGCGCGATCCGGCCGCTCCGCAAAGTGGTACTTGAGGAACGCCACTGAAATTGACGAATTCCACCATGCCGCGGGGTTGCCGTACAGTCGACACTGAAACCGATCCTGCAGCGGCTCAACTTGCTTCCACACGGTCTTTCCAAAGCCTTGTCGCACCTTCAGATTATCTTGCACAACAGCCTTGATCTTCG